TTAACTTAGAGTTCTTGGATAGGTCTTAGAAATTAAGGCTTAACCAAAGAACTATCCAAATGACTGTAAAATGTTGTTTTATATTATGGTAAACATAAATATACTGGATAAAATTTTGAACTCTAGAAGCAGATAAACCATGATATAAAGCCTAATTTGAAACTTAACCTCTTAAAACTCTATTTCTGCATCAGTTAAATGGAAGTAATAACAGTTACTAACCTACCTAAGTATTCGTTAGTGTGAGAATTAAATAAAGTAATACAGGTAAGTTTTTTAACACATAGAAAGTACACAATAAATAGTAGGTGTAAATTATAGAATATAAAATATTGAATAAGAAGATAAAGAGTTAATAATAGAAAAGTAGAAAAACTAGAAATAATTATGGTTATTTTTAGAGTGCAAACCTTTTTGATTGTCCTAATGTTTAAATTTCAGGTTAAGTATTTCTAGTTATTCTCTTTTTGATGTTTAAAACTGCACTCTTCCCAGACTGCTCCAGGGCAAAAGTAAATGAACTGAAAACAATTACTGTAATATGTAAAACTTGAAACAGAAATGTATTTTCATTCTTGGTAATGTCCAGGGACTGAACAACTAAGGTGATGTTTTACAAATTCAAGTTGAATCAATAAAGTATGGTTTGGTAAACATGTGCTAACCACTGTTTAGACAGCATTATCAATCAAATACTTAAGAGAGATAGGGAAAATGTGAATCTCAGTATAAAATACCTAGAGAGCTGAAATAGTATATTTAGTCTTTGATCTTCTATTTTAAAATAATGTGTTTATACAGAAATTTGCATGATGAAACTGCCTTGCATCTGGGGAGCTCAGAACATGAATGCCAACTGCTAGAGATGGCCAGGAGTTTATTGAAGGAGTTATATCCCTCTCTCAAGGAAAGTAACTTTTTTATTTTTGAGACAGAGTCTTGATGTATTATTGAGGCTGGAGTGCAGTGGTGCGGTCTCGGCTCAATGCAACCTCCGACTCCCAGGTTCAAGTAATTCTCCTGCCTCAGCCCCCCGAGTAGCTGAGATTACAGTCCCCCACTGCTATGCCCAGCTAATTTTTTTTTTTTTAGTAGAGACAGGGCTTCACTATGTTGTCAAGGCTGGTCTTGAACTCGTGACTGTGTGATCTGCCCACCTTGGCCTCCCAAAGTGCTGGGATTACAGGCATGAACAATCATGTCCAATCCTGTAACTGGTTTTAAAGAGAAGTTTCTTGCACTTTTCATGCTGGAATAAACTTGAACTATTTTCTGGCAGAGTAGTCAAAAAATAAATAAATAAATGAACACCTCTTGAAACAGCAGAGTGGAGATGAGCACCTGCTTTGATGGTACCAGCCTCGGTGCCGATCTTCACTTGGCTTTCCTGAGACCCTGAGCTTTTCAGAGATTCAGTTTCCTTTTCATCTAAAACATTGTGGGACTTGACAATAATTAATGGTTTTTATTTGACCCTTTCAAATAAAATCTTAAGGAGAAGACCACTATGCAAAGTTAGAAACAAATATACTATTTTTGAAACAAGGTGTTTCAAATGTGTGCACTTGCACGTGTGTGTGTGTGTGTGCACCAATAGTGCTTAGCTATCTTTCCATTCTCCACAGAATGGCTTCTTCCCCAAAATGACTCCCTTCCTCCAACTCCTAATTTTCTCAGTAATATTCACAGAACAGTTTCCAAAACACCACCCCAGATGCCTTTCCTTGTTCTTCTGGACATTATTGTTGACCTTTTCAAAAAATTTATCTAGATGGGCAAATTACAAAACAAATAGCTGTTAGTTAATATATTTAAAATTCAACTCAAAATATTTAAAATGAAATAGAAAGCATCTTTTTATCTTAGCATGTTAGCAAAACTTATAATGAATATTACTAAAATTGACATCTAGGGACACAGCTGCTCTCATTCATTGCTAGTGGGAGTGTAAACTGGTCTAACATTTCTGGAATATATTTTACAATATATACCAATACTTTTAAGACTGATAAACCACTGTACCACAGAATTCCTCTTCGAGTAGTTTAACTCAAAGAAGTAGATGGGAAAAAAGAAAGATGTACAATTGAGCTTATCAGAGTTATTTATAAGGAGGAAGAGTGAAAACCACATTCGTTTTAACATTATTATCCAATTTAAATATCTATTTAAATACATATTATAAAAGAGGTGTTTTTCTTTGAAATTGGAAAATTTGAAGAAGTTTGAATAAAGTAATAGTATAAGGAGTAAGTAAGCTCCTGGTTCTTGCTGGGTACTGCTGGAAAAAAAGCAAGAAAGGCTGATGTTGATTAATCACTAATTTAAGGTTATAGGAGAAAGTCAGAGGGTTTCTTAAGAACCATATAAACAAAGTTTTATTTCTAGCAGCTAAAGGGCAAAGAATAACTAGGGATAAGGCACAGGACCTATTTACAAAGGCAGAAAAAGCTCCAGAGAATGTTGGGTTCTTAACCCTGGAAAACGATGCTCAGAATCTGGATTGCAAAGGTAATTTAGCTTCAGATGTGTGATGAGACTTCTGAGTCAATGTACTTGAAAATCTCAAATTTTCAGATTCCCTTGGACAGAGGCCTGTAGAAACAGCCTAATCTTTCCTGTTATAGCCTAGTATTTCTCCCCTGCTCTCAGGCAATGCAGAGGATTTCAAGATCTAGCTCCACTTCCTTTACTGGCCATCAGAAAAATAACTAGGGTAAAGTCACAACATTGCCCTTCCCAAGAAATGCTGCAACTAAATAGGGGAGCTGTAGGACCAGCCAACATGCACCAGGGAGTAACTTGATTCTGATGGGGCTGAATCAAGGTGGGAAGGTGGAGCATAATATTGGGTAAGGGAAAGTTCATCGATATGGGAGCACTATCTCATAATACAAGATTTATTACCCTGTTGAACACCTTAGGAAGCAGCGATAACCTGGCGCCATTTTTGGAAGCTTGAACAAAATAATGGTCCTCAATAAATAAACTAGAGCCACTGGAACTACTCTGTAGCAGGCAGTAAAGTAAGGGATCAAGAGGATGAGAGAGGTGAGCATGCTGTTGGAGGTGCACTATGTAAGGCTTGAAAACCCCTGCACACTGTTGGGGAATCTGGAAGAAATCCACCTGCAAACTGATAAGAGGTGCTCTAATAAGGGGGTACCAATATGTCTGAGTAGCTCAGTGATGGATGTTTTTTATAGGACAGGAGTAACATAGAGGATGGTATTACAGTGTGGAGGTTTCTGATAACAGTGGGGATGATGGGCTCCAGAATAAAAAAGGCCAGGTGACTGGAAATTAAGCATCAAAAGTAAGAGAGATGCAGTGGTTATAACTGGTAGCAAGGTCAAAAAGGAAGCTCAGGGGAGCTGGCCTAGAGAGAGCTATGGAGATATGAAGCATCGTATTTCTAGGGACAAGATAAATGGGCAGCCAATAAGAGTTCTGCTCAATTCATAAAATTTATACAACCAAAAAAAGTCACAGATTTATTGGAAGGTCCCCTCAGTAAAACATCACGATCCCTTGTCCAACTTTCAGATGTCACCATATTTTTTAGATCCTGAATTGCTCATGATGAGGTATCTTGTAATATCATGGCAGGTGTATGTGATAATCCCCCCTCCAGTTACCTATGGCCATTCACACGAGTAAGGGGAAGATCAGATGTTTTGAACACTGTTAGACACAGAGCTTAGATTAAGGTTGATAACGTGGGATTCAAAACAATCACCAAACTCCCCTGTTAGAGAAGAAGACATATGTGTATTAGGTTAAAAATTAGAATCCTCTTCCAGGTTCAGCTCACTGGGTCCTCAAATCCATCTGGTTGTTATTTCCTGAGTCCCCAGATATACAGTTAGAATGGGCACTAAATGTGCCCATTTAGTTGACAGAATATCTGCATTGATTGTTTATCCTGGACATAAGAACTAACTAGTAGGGAAAGCCAAATGGAAGCTCTGCAACTGACTCCACTCCCATTTCCCACCTCCTTTTCCTACCCCAGCCAAGATAATACATTAAAACCAAGTTCAGAGACTAATACTACCCTTAGAATGCAAATGGTTTCAGGGAGGGTAGACCCCATAACATTATTTAATTCATTTAAAAATATTATTATATTTACATATTTCTTTTATTCTTTTAAGTTCTGGGGTACATGTGCAGAATGTGCAGGATTGTTACATAGTTATACACGTGCCATGGTGGTTTGCTGCACCCATCAACCCGTCGTCTACATTAGGTATTTCTCCTAATGCCATCCCTCCCCTAGACCCCTACCCTGACCCCTGACAGGCCCCGGTGTGTGATGTTCCCCTCCCTGTGTCCATGTGTTCTCATTGTTCAACTCCCAGTTGTGAGTGAGAACATACAGTGTTTGGTTTTCTGTTCCTGTGTTAGTTTGCTGAGAATGATGGTTTCCAACTTCATCCATGTGCCTGCAAAGGACAGGAACTCATCCTTTATATGGCTACATAGTATTCCATGGTGTATATGTGCCACATTTTCTTTATCTAGTCTATCTTTGATGAGCATTTGGGTTGGTTCTAAGTCTTTGCTATTGTGAATAGTGATGCATTAAACAAACGGGTGCATGAGTCTTTATAGTAGAATGGTTTATAATCCTTTGGGTATATACCCAGCAATGGGGTTGCTGGGTCAAATGGTATTTCTGGTTCTAGCTCACTGAGAAATCACCACGCTGTCTTCCACAATGGTTGAACTAATTTACACTCCCACCAACAGTTTAAAAGCGTTCCTATTTCTCCACATCCTCTCCAGCATCTGTTGTTTCCTGGCTTTTTAATGATCGCCATTCTAACTGACGTGAGATGGTATCTCCTGGTGGTTTTGATTTGCATTTCTCTAATGACTAGTGATAATGAGCTTTTTTGCATATGTTTGTTAGCTGCATATATGTCTTCTTTTGAGAAGTGTCTGTTCATATCCTTTGCCTACTTTTTGATGTTTTTTTTTTTTTTCTTATAAATTTGTTTTAAGTTCCTTGTAGATTCTGGATAGTAGCCCTTTGTCAGATGGATAAATTGCAAAAATTTTCCCCCACTCTGTAGGTTCCCTGTTTGATTGGTTAGTCTGGCCCTTAAGACACAGATAGATCCTGGTAAATGTCAGTGACATGGACATGGGCTGCACAAAGGCAAATTTTAACTCTCATTGCAGCTGTTGTATTAGATGTGATATCTCTTCTAAAGTAGATCTGTACAGCCTTAGGTAGATTGGTCTAATGAGTCTATTCACAGCAAGAAAAAGGAACAGAAGCCATTTGAACTAATGTAGGGCAGGTAAGAACATGCATTTATGCTTTTGCTTCAGGGTGATGTTAACTCTCCTACTCTCTGTCATGAGATAGTTGAAAACGGTCTGGGCCATCTGGTCATTCCATAGATAGTCATCATACTGATGCCATCAGGTTAATCAGAAGAGCAAGTGGTGGCAAGTATGAATCTTAATAAAAAGAACCCTATGAAAATTTAGGTCCTGTGTTTTGACCTGGTCATCCACTCTCTGTGGAGAGAAGTTGCTTGAGGTAAAAACTGATGTCCACTCATTGGTAGTGGTAAATACCTTGGCTGCTTTTTTTTAGGGTCCTAAAAGGATAAAGTTTGGAAAATCATGAACCAGGAGGTAAGGGGAAGAAGCATATGGGTGTGTATTTATCATGATTTATTATTCATATGTTTTTTGTTTTGACAAAGATGTTTTGTCAAAGACTCATATTTTGTTTTGGCAATATATATTGACATGTTGGGGATGTGCTGACCCAAGAGGGACTGCCCCTCTTAGGGTTAGTTAATTCCAAGAGATACAAAACAACTCACCTGAAAGTGCACCTCTCAAATGAAAATTAAACTGATTCAGAGCCCTTAATTCAGTCACCTCTTTTATCAAGGTCTTAGATGCCTACCCTCTGGGCCACTCTTCCTTTGCCCTAATCATTCCAGGGTCAGCTATCAAACAAAAAGGAACAGCTCGTCCATCCCCGAAGCCACTGAAATTACTCAAAATAGCCGATTCTAAACCTGCTTATCCTGTCTCACCTGTTCCTTCACAAGGAAACCACAATAAAAGCTCTTGCCAGTTTCTCTCCTCCTTCTATCACCTGACTAATCCCAGTGCTTCCTTTTGTAGCCTCCCATGGCATGGCATGGCCCCTTCTGTTGAAATTTGTGAATGTTAACATGTTTTCAGTGGTAGTCATTCATTGATATGTTGGCCTCATCATATCTGAATAATAATAAAGCTTATATTTTAAAATTGTGCTGTAGACTGTTTGTATCCCCCCACAAATTCAAATGTTGAAATCCTTACCCCCAATCTGATGGTATTAGAAGGTATTGCCTTTGGTGGGTGATTATGTCATGAAGTTGGAGCCTTCATGAATGGTGTTAGTACACATAGAAAAGAAACCCTAGAGAACTCCCTAACTCCTCCACCACGTGATAATATAGCAAGAAAGCACTTGCCTATGGACCAAGAAGCATGTCCTCACCATACACCAAATCTTTTGAGTTCTGGATCTTGAACCTCTCAGCCTTCAGAACTTTAGAAATACATTGTTTGTAAGCCACCTAGTTTATGGCATGTTGTTAAAATAGTCCAAAAGCACTAAGACAAACAGGATGGAGCTATGGGAACTTTCATGAAGTATGACTATCTTTGTATCGCATGCCAAGAAGAGAGCATTCACTGAAGAAAAGAGGCATGAAGGAACCAAGGAGCCAGAATGACTCAGCTATGAGATGATGCTCAGCCAAAGTGATCTTTGTTCAACTCAGGGCTGCCTCCACCAGCTCTTGGACACATTAGCTACGGTAGCAGACATAGGGGCTGTGCATATGCCCAACATGTCCAACTCATCTGACTCTGTTTGTGCTGCTATACTGAAATACCTCTGACTGGATAATTTATAAAGAACATAAATTTAGTCTTCATAGTTTTAGTACTGGAAAGTTCAAAGTTAAGGTTCCAGCAGGCTCAATGCCTGGTAAGGGCCTGGTCTCTGCTTCTAAGATGGCACCTTGAATGCTGTGTAACCACCTGGTGGAAGGCAGAAGGCAAAAAGGGAGTAGCTAGCTCTCTCTAGCCTTTTTATAAGGTTACAAATTTTATTCATGATGGCAAAGCCCTCATGGCCCAATTACCTTCAAAGGGCCCCACCTCTTAATACTGTGGCATTGGGGATTAAGTTTCAAGATAAATTTTAGATTGTATACATTCAATTTGTAACACCACCCAAGACTGATTTAGCTACCATGATGCCAAACAGCCAAACTGCAAGAAATACAGACCAATGCTGAGCCCCTGTTGTGATACTATCCCTTGATGAATCATTCTAGAAGGGGAAGGAATTTAGTTTATCTGGAATCAACACATCCTAAGTATGGATTTTCCTTTCATGTTTTTGGGGACTGGGTCAGCACCGTATCCAAGGGCTTTTGTAGTCTTTGAAGTACCCACTAGGTATATTTATAATATCACCTCAGACAAAGAGACTTGCTTTACAGCAAAGAAGGTGTGAAAGTGAGTGAATGACCATAGGTTCATCTGGTCTTATCACATTTCCTAGGAGCTATTGGCATGCTGGAAAGATGAAACAGTTTTTTAAAGGCGTAACTTCTGTGACAATGTAAAGGTAATATCTTGAGAATGTGAAGCGCTCTTCTCCAGGAAGCAGTATACATCCTATGTCATGGCTGTTATTAGCCATGGTGCTGTGTGCCCAGTTGGTAAAATAAATGGGTCAAGAACCAGGAACCAAGCCCCACTTTCCACAATTTATAATGATCCCCTTAGGAAATTTGTACTTCTATGAGTCTAAATGTCCTGATTCTCATAGAGTAATGCTTCCACCAAAGGATAAAGTAACAGTCCCATTAAATTTAAAGCTATGGTTGTGGCCTCAGCACTTAAGGCTCCAAAAGACAAGCAGGCTAGAAGAGAAGTATTCTCTTTGGCAAGGGTAGCTGGCCCTGATAATCAGCTGTAGTCTGCATGCCCAAGTGATTCACTACTAAATCTCCTCCTGGCCAATTTTCATGGTAAATGGGCAGCATAAGAAGATCATGATGATTAGGGGATATAGATTTTTTAGATATGAAGGTCTGGTTTACCCTGCCAGATAAGACACCTGCCCTCACAAAGGTGCTAGCCAAGTGTGAGAGTAATCTGGAATAGGTAGTAAAAGAAGAAGATGGTAAGTATCAGATACAGCGAGAGTCTAGCTGCAGTGGCAAGATTTATGGTACATTCCACTGACCATCCTCTTTTAAATACCATGAGAAACACAAACCAGCCAGAAGCTTGGAGAAGCTGCCCTCAGGTGTGGTCAACTAAGTATATGAAGAAATGAATTTGAGTGGCATATAAGGGGCAGGATATACTGAGTGCCCTGGTATACCCTAGTTTCTTACTAAAGCATTCATTTGCTAAGCTGATTGCTTCCAGATTAATCAACTTCTAGGAATTTTCTTTGGCTATAAGATATGCTTTCGTGAGGTTAGGCTACCTCTTTGGGGGGGGGCCCGTATTTAATGATTAGTCAGTGTGGAGCACAATGTCCTGCTCTCTTGGCTCAATTTGGGAGAACTCCAAAGAACTATTCCAACTATCAATGAGTGACTTTTGCTTCACAATTCTTTGCCTTCATCAATGCCAATGAGATTCTCTACCAATCGACTTCGGCCATACACTCCATAGGCCACTCTAGAAACTTTGTCATAAGCTCAAGTTGTTCCACCATTGAAGGTATAAATGTCTTGTACTCTGAGCATGATGTCTGATGCCATATTGTTCTTTCAGTAGCTTACTCCACTATGTCTGGTCTTTGACTTCATATATAGTCTTCAGTATTCTTTTCTTTTTTTACTTTAAGTTCTGGGGTACATGTGCAGATAGTGCAGGATTGTTACATAGGTATACACATGCCATGGTGGTTTGCTGCATCCATCCCCCATCATCTACATTAGGTATTTCTCCTAATGCCGTCCCTCCCCAATGCCTCCACTCCCTGTTATCCCTCCCCTAGTCTCCCCACCTCCCAGTAGGCCCCAGTGTGTGATGTTTTCCTTCCTGTGTCCATGTGTTCTCATTTTTTCAACACCAACTTATGAGTGAGAACTTGCGGTGTTTGGTTTTCTGTTTTTGCATAAGTTTGCTGAGAATGATGGTTTCCAACTTCATCCATGTCCCTGCAAAGGACATGAACTCATCCTTTTTTATGGCTGCATAGTATTCCATGGTGTATATGTGCCACATTTTCTTTATCCAGTCTATCCTTGTTGGACATTTGGGTTGGTTCCAAGTCTTTGCTATTGTAAACAGTGCTGCAATAACCATGCGTATGCATGTGTCTCTATAATAGAATGTTTTGTAATCCTTTGGGTATATATCCAGTAATGGGATTGCTGGGTCAAATGGTATTGCTATGTCTGGATCCTTGAGGAATCTCCACACTGTCTTCCACAATGGTTGAACTAATTTACACTCCCACCAGCAGTGTAAAAGCATTCTTATTTCTCCACATCCTCTCCAGCTTCTGTTGTCTCCAGACTTTTATTCAATGAGACCCTTTTCTTCCTTTCTTAATGACTTTTTGTGAATACTGTACTGTCTATATATACAGTATAGTACATTACAGTTACAGTATAGTATTACATTATATATATAAAATGATTGGCACTCTGACCTTCAGGTACCTTCCCTCACAGATATTCTTATCATTATATAACACTGGACCATTACTAAAATTTTTCCTCTCTCTTATTAAACTCCTGGGCAAAAATACTATAATTTCAAAACTGGTGTTATTACAATTCAGTATAATAACTTGGGTCATCAAAATCACTTCTTAGCCATTCTCGTTTTTTTCTTTTTTGCTGTATCTCTTTCTTATTTCTTTCATCAACTCTACCAAAGCTTCACAATTCTGAACTTTTATTTTCTGTGGTCCACGTTGATGGCTACTCTCCCTCTGAGCTTCCTACAAACCTATCCCTACCATCCCCTCCTTTTTATAATTTGTTCTAGGTGAATTGATTCTCTTTTAGAGACTTTTTCAGCCATCCTTTCTTCAACTCAACTCCTCTTTTCTTACTGCTCAGCCTGCAAAAATGATCAAGTTTCTCTCATAGGGTAAGAAAAAATTCCCCCTTAATCCCCATGGCTCTTCTAGCTACCATCCAATCACTCTTCTGACCTAAGTTTTCAGTGTGTCACACAATTTAACTTACTGACATTTCAAAATATATGTTTTGGATGTTTCAAGGTTTGGTTGAAAACAGTCTAAATAGAGCTATATAATATGTGCTTTAAGCATATTTCCTAAAATAAATAGCCCAACTTGAGGTTGTATATATACATATATATTCAGATAGAAAAAAAATTGATCTGGAAAGAGGAATTTTGCTTATTTTTAAAAATGAATATTGGTGTGATACTAAAAATATTTTTAATATATGATTTGCATGAAAAATCACAATAGAGTGACCACCATTACCCACATTAATAAAGAGACCATTGCCACTAAATTAAAACTTAATGTGTTTCCTTCTTTTATTTTTTTTCTGTCTTTTTTTTATTGTACTTTAAGTTCTGGGGTACATGTGCACATCCTGCAGGATTGTTGCATAGGTATACACATGCCATGGTGGTTTGCTGTCTCCATCCCCCCACCACCTACATCAGGCATTTTCCTGGTGTTCCCTCCCCAACCTCCACACCCCCTGATGTCCCTTCCCTCCCCTGCTCCCTGCCCCAACCCCTCCTACCCCAGTGTGTGATGTTTCCCTCCCTGTGCCCATGTGTTCTCATTGTTCATCACATGCCTATTAGGAAAAACATGTGGTATTTGGTTTTCTGTTCTTGTGTCAATTTGCTGAAGAGCGATGGTTTCCAGATACATCCGTGTCCCTACAAAGGGCACAAACTTGTCATTTTTTATGGCTGCATAGTATTCCATGGTGTATATATGCCACATTTTTTTTATCTAGTCTATCCTTGACGGGCACTTGGGTTGGTTCCAGGTCTTTGCTATTGTACACAGTGCCACAATGAACATGGCTGTGCATATGTCTATATAATAGAATGACTTAAATCCTTTGGGTATATACCCAGTAATGGGATTGCTAAGTCAAATGGTATTTCTATTTCTAGATTCTTGAGGAAATGCCATACTGTCTTCCAAAATGGTTGAATTAATGTGCACTCTCTCCAACAGTGTAAAAGTGTTCCTGTTTCTCACATCGTCTCCAGCATCTTTTGTCTCCAGATTTTTAAATGATTGCCATTCTAACTGTCATGAGATGGTATCTCAGTGTGGTTTTGATTTGCATTTCTCTAATGACTAGTGATGATGAGCATTTTTTCTTATGTTTCTTGGCTTCATAAATGTTTTCTTTTGAAAAGTGTCTGTTCATATCCTTCATTCACTTTTGAATGGGTTTGTTAGTTTTTTTCTTGTAAATCTACTTTAGTTCTTTGCAGATTCTGGATATTAGCCCTTTATCAGATGGGTAGATTGCAAAAAATTTTTCCCATTCTGTTGGTTACCAGTTCACTCTAATGATTGTTTCTTTTGCTTTGTAGAAACTCTTGAGTTTACTTAGGTTCCATTTGTCTATTTTGGCTTTTGTTGCCATTGCTTTTGGTGTTTTAGTCATGAAGTCCTTGCCTATGCCTGTGTCTTGAATGATATTGCCTAGGCTTTCTTCTAGGGTTTTTATGGTGTTAGGTCTTATGTTTAAATCTTTGATCCACCTGGAGTTAATTTTAGTGTAAGGTGTCAGGAAGGGGCCCAGTTTCAGTTTTCTCCTCATGCCTACCCATTTTTCCCACCACCATTTATTAAACAGGGAATCCTTTCCCTATTGCTTGTTTTTCTCAGGTTTGTCAAAGATCACATTGCTGTAGATGTGTGATGTTACTTCCAAGGTCTCTGTGCTGTTCCATCAGTCTATATCTTTGTTTTGGTACCAGTACCATCCTGTTTTGATTACTGTAGCCTTGTAGTATAGTTTGAAGTCTTGTAGTGTGATGCCTCCAGCTTTGTTCTTTTTGCTTAGGATTGTCTTGGCTATGCGGTTTCTTTTTTGGTTCCATATGAAGTTTAGGTGTTTTTTTCCAGTTCTGTGAAGAAGGTCAGTGGCAGCTTGATGGGGATAGCATTGCATCTGTAAATTACTTTGGGTAGTATGGCCATTTTCATAATATTGATTTTTCCTAACTATGAACATGGAAAGTTTTTCTATATGTCTGTGTCCTCTCTTATTTCCTTGAGTAGTGGTTTGTAGTTCTCCTTGAAGAGGTCCTTCACGTCCTTTGTTAGTTTTATTCCTACGTATTTTATTCTCTTTGTAGCTATTGTGAATGGGAGTCACTCATGATTTGGTTCTCTGTTGGTCTGTTATTTGTGTACAGGAATGCTTGTGATTGTTGCACATTGATTTTATATCCTGAGACTTTGCTGAAGTTGCTTATCATCTTAAGGAGATTTTGGGCTGAGACGATGGAGTCTTCTAAATATATCATGTCATCTACAAATAAAGATCATTTGACTTCCTCTTTTCCTAATTGAATACCCTTTATTTCTTTTTCTTGCCTGATGGCTCTGGCTAGAACTTCCCATACTATATTGAATAGGAATGGTGAGAGAGGGCATTCTTGTCTAGTGCCGGTTTTCAGAAGGAATGCTTCTTCCAGTTTTTGCCTGTTCAGTATGATATTGGCTTGGGCTTGTCATAGATAGCTTTTATTATTTTAAGATACATTCCATAAATACCCAGTTTACTGAGAGTTTTTAGCATTGTTACAGATCTGCATTCAAGTCCTGGATATCCTTGTTGATTTGCTGTCTTATTGATCTGTCTAATATTGACCACGGAGTGTTAAATTCTCCCATTATTATTGGGTGGGAGTCTAAGTCTCTTTGTAGGTCTTTAAGAACTTGCTTTATGTATCTGGGTACTCCTGTATTGGGTGTATATATATTTAGGATAGTTAGGTCTTCTTGTTGCATTGCAAGGTCTCCTTTTACCATTATATAATGCCCTTCTTTGTCTCTTCTCATCTTTCTTCATTTAAAATCTGTTTTATAAGTTATTGGGATTGTAACCCCTGCCTTTTTTTTTTTTCTCTCCATTTGCTTGGTAAATCTTCTTCCATCCCTTTACTTATTATTCCATCATAAGCAGAGTCTGTGTGAGTCTCTGCTCATGAGGTGGGTCTCCTGAATACAGCACACCAATGGGTCTTGACTTTTTATCCAATTTGCCAGTCTGTGTCTTTTAATTGGGGCATTTAGGTCATTTATATTTAAGCTTAATATTGTTATGTGTGAATTTGATCCTGACATGTTGATACTAGCTGGTTGTTTTGCCTGTTAGGTGACACAGATTCTTCATTGTGTCAATGCTCTTTACCATTTGGTACATTTTTGCAGTGGCTTATGCTAGTTGATCCTTTCCATGTTTAGTGCTTTCTTCAGGAGCGCTTGTAAGGCAGGTCTGGTGGTGACGAAATCTCTCAGCAATTGCTTGTCCATAAAGCATTTTATTTCTCCTTCACTTACGAAGCTTAGTTTGTCTTGATATGAAATTCTGGGTTGAAAGTTCTTTTCTTAATCTTGGCCACTACTCTATTCTGGCTTGCAGGGTTTCTGCCAAGAGATCTGCTGTGAGTCTGATGGGCTTCCCTTTGTGAGTAACCTGACCTTTCTCTCTGGCTGCCCTTAGTATTTTTTCCTTCATTTCAACCCTAGTGAGTCTGATGATTATGTGCCTTGGGGTTGCTCTTCTTGAGGAATATCTTTGTGGTGTTCTTTATATGTCCTGGATTTGAATGTTGGCCTGTCTTGCTAGGTTGGGGAAGTTCTCCTGGATAACATCCTGAAGGATATTTTCCAGTCTGGATTCACTCTCTCCATCATATTCAGGTACACTGATCAAACATAGATTAGGTCTTTTCACATAATCCCATATTTCTTGGAGGCTTTGTTCATTTCTTTTCACTCTTTTTTCTCTAATCTTGCCTTCTTGTTTTATTTCATTGAGTTGGTCTTCAATCTCTGATATCTTTTCTTCTGCCTGATCGATTTGGCTGTTGAAACTTGTGTATGCTTCACTAAGTTCTCATGCTGTGTTTTTCAGCTCCATCAAGTTGTTTATATTCTTCTCTAAGCTGGTTATTCTAGTTAACATTTTGTCTAACGTTTTTTTCAAAGTTCTTAGTTTCTTTGCATTGGGTTAGAACATGTTCCTTTAGCTCAGAGAAGTTTGTTATTACCCACCTTCTGAAGACTGCTTCTGTCAATTAGTGAAACTCATTCTCCTTCCAGTTGTGTTTCCTTGCTGGTGAAGAGTTGTGATCCCTTGGAGGAGGAGAGGGTTTCTGGTTTTTGGTGATTTCATCCTTTTTGAGCTGGTTTCCTCCCATCTTTGTGGATTTATCTACCTTTGGTTTTTGAAGTTGGTGACTTTTGGAAGGGGTCTCCGAGTGGATGTCCTTTGTGTTGATGATGAAACTATTTCTTTCGGTTTTTTAGTTTTCCTTCTATAGTCAGTCTCTTCTGCTGCAGGTCTGCTGGAGGTTCACTCTGGACCCTGCTTGCCTAGGAATCACCCGCGGGGGCTGAAAAACAGTATAGGTTGCTGCCTGTTCTTTCTTCTCGTATCTTCATTCCCGATGGGTACCTGTTAGATGTCAGCCAGAGCTCTCCTTTATGAGGTGACTCTTTGGATTTGGGGAGGTTCAGGGAGCCACATGAGGAGCCAGTGTGTCCTTTATGAGAGCTCAAGTGCTGTGCTGGGAGCTCCATTGTTTCATTCATAGATGCAGGCCAGGGATGTGTAGGTCTTCTGCAGTGGAACTCACAACCCCCCTTTTTTCCAGGTGCTTTGTCCTAGGAAGGTGGGGCTTTATTTGTAAGTCCCTGATGTGTTGTTGCCTTTTTACAGAGATGCCCTGAAGAAAGGACGGAGTCTAGTCACAGTCTGCCTGTAGAGGCGATGCTGAACTGCCATAGGCTCTGCTCAGCTGCTGTGTAAACTTCTTTGCAGTTTTCTTTACAAGGGTAAGGTTTAGTCTGCCTCTGTAATGGCAGACTACCTCTGTAGTGGCGTACTGCCTCAGTAATGGCAGACTGCATTGGTAATGGTGGCCTGCCTTGGTAATGACTGACTACCTTGTTAATGATGGATGTCCTTCACCCGATGGGGCTCAACTGTCCTGGGTAGAGCACAAACTGCTGCACTGGCTGTAAACCTCTCAAGCCAGTGTGTTTCAGATTGCTGGTCTTTGTGGGGTTGAACCCACTGAGCCAGTTCATCCGGCTCCCTGCCTTCAGCCCCTTCTCTCTCAGGGGAATGGGTGTCTCTGCCTGGCAGGCACTTTGGGTGCCAGTTAAAACGGCTACCCAGCTTTGTAGCGGTTTTTGTGCTGGAAACCTGGCGCTGGCTGAAACAGCTTTGCTGGAAACCCACAGCGCTTGTCAACTGGCAGGAATCTCCTGGTCTGTGGGTTGCAAAAACTACAGGAAAAGGGACAAGCACAGTATCTGAAACTGAGTGCTGGAGTGGTTGGAAATGCCCCTAATGGTCTCGCTTGGGTAGCAGGGAGGGGTTCTTTAGTTCGCTGCACTTTCTTGGTGAAGCAGCGCCCCACCTTGCCTCTGCTCGCTCTCTTTGGGCTACACCCACTGTTCAACCAGTCTCCTTAAGATGTACCTGATAACCTCTGTTGCAAATGAGAGATTGCTTGCCCTCTTCGTTGCTTTCCCTGTGAAGGGTGCTCTGGAGCTGCTCCTATTCGGCCATCTTGGTGGTTCCCCCAGTGTGTTTCCTTCTACATTGCATCTTGGTTTTTTTCTCCCCTAAGAAGTAGTTGCTATCTGGATTTTGTATTTTTCATTCCTTGTCTCCATGTAGTTTTACTAAATTATTTGTAAAGTTAAAGAATATATTACTTGATTTTTGCATACTTTTGAGATTTATGTAAGTGAAATTATGCTATGTGGCTTGCTTATCTTTAGTCAACATTATGTCCATTTTATTATGTATATAAAAATTTAATTATTACTATATTTTATTTTAATATACTTTAAGTTTTGGAGCAGTTTTAGACTTATGGCAACATTGAGGAAGGTACAGATATTTTTCATATACTCCTTTCCACCACACATGCATAGCTTCCTCCCTTATCACTATTCACCACAGTGGTACATTTCAATTGTTTTATAGTATTTTAGTATGGCTATATGACAATTATTTAAATTTCCTACTGATAATGACTATTAGCTTGTTTTGTCTGTTTATTCTCCAATTACAACATTACTATAAATATTTTTGTACAAATGTCTTGTTATACATGCTTGTCTCCTGGGGGTTTTGTTTTTAGATGACAAGGGTGTCTTTGCATAGCTGACTGTGTGCCCTAGGCTGACTAATCTTAGCATGATGTCTCTTCCTTGTTATCTAATTATAAAGAAATATTGAAATTTCTCTTTACCATTTGTAAAAGTCCCACACCTTCTATGTAATCCACTATAGTACTTCCTGAGTGGGCAGGAAGTTTGCAATACTATGGAGGCTGGAGA